ATCATTTTCATCATTTTCTATTATGTCATCATGTCGTATCATTGTCATCATTCTCATTGTCTTCATGAATTTCCATCATGTTCATTACTTACTTGACTCCTGCAATCTTTCTGTTGGCTGGTCGGTTTTTTCGGCTTCTTGGCTTTTTGGCCTCTTTGCTTTTTGGCTTTGTGGCTTCTTGGCTTTCTGGCTTCTTCGATTTCTAGCTCTGTGGTTTCTCGCTTTCTGTACCTTCCTGAAGTAGTAGTAGTAGTAATAATAATTAGTTGATGATTAGTTAGAGAGGGTTATGCAGATCATTTTGTTTCCAAATGCGGGGGCGCGGCGCCTGCCCCAACCCCCCCGCCTTTGTTGCGGCCATCCATACCTGCCAATGTCATCGTTTTAAACCATCTCCGTACTTTCCATGATCACGACACCCCCATTATTCGGATCATTTTGTTTGCAAATCGGGCAGGGGTAATGCCGTCCATGCTTCATGTTCTCATGGTTTTCAGAATTTCCCATCATTTTTCAACATCAGGCTTCATACAGTTTATCGTGTTTATCTGTTTTTTCCAAAATGTTCATCCTCATCCGTTTTCATCATCTTCATGACTTTTCTTCATCATTTCCTGTCATTTTTCATTATTGCTCATTATTGCTCATTATGTTTCATCATTTGTCATCATGGTTCATCAGTTCTCATGTTTTTCATCATTCTCTATCACGTTTCATCATGTTTCATCATTGTTCTTTAATGTTTCGTATTTTTCTATAGGTTTTCTACAAATTTCCATAACTTTCCTGTCGTTTGTCAGTACTCTTCATTAAGTTCATCATTTTCTACCAGTTTCATGATGTTTCTATCATTTTCCTCATGTTTACATCATTTTTTATCATTGTTACATTATTTTCTCTAATTTTTCATGATTCTTCTCAATTCTTCATCATTCCTCACAGTTTTTGCCTCAGAATCGCGCTCTCGTGTGAGGCGTCCTTCGATTCCGGGCCCCCAGCCCACCCCAAAAAAAATGTCACAAAGCAAAAAGTCAAGCAACAAATCCAACCCTGAAATATTCCCGATGTTCATGGGTCTTAAGCTTGGTCGGAGATTCGGAGATGGCACGATCCTGGAGAGCCTCCAAGCGAAGGCAGACCTTTGGAACTGTTGCGTGGGGTTGGTCACGCTGCCTTTGTACAGTCGTCGCGCCCACCGCGTTTTCATTGTTCTGTTGCTGCTGAAGCCATCCTTGGGTAGTCAGGTTGACTGCATGAGAATTCCACAGCACAGCTGGCATCCGTAACTGCAGGAGAAGGCTGAGACCACGGCCTTGGCTGAGGCCTTCCTCTGAGAGCATGGCGTAGTTTCAAAAAAAAACTGCCTTGTACAACTTGTAGACAATGATCAATTTGGGATTCTCCAGGCTCCAGTGGAGCGCAAGCACGTGATCGATGCGGCGATCGTGCGCATCATGAAGTCGAGGAGCGATGCAGAGTCTTGTTGAGTCCCAGCTTGTGCCGCATGCAGGAACAAACTGGAGCACAACTCCCTCCTGGACGAAGTCTTCAGGCAATGCACGCTCTTCAAGCCGCAGCCCGCTCAGATCAAGAGCCAGATCGAGCACTTGATTGAGAGAGGCACCAGCACCTGCACTGCTTGTAACTGCAGCCATGTGACTGCAGCGTGCTGACCAGAATTCTTGAAGCGAGACGATGCGAATCGCAGCGTTTACCTTTACCTGCCCGGGTCTCAGAATGCGCATCGACGCAGAGCCGTGGGCAGAGCATGGTAGAGCCATTCCAAAGCTGGGAGGCCTTGAGCGAAGCCTTCACGAAGAGGCGACCCAGAGGACAGAGCCATGGATTGTTCAGACAAGTTTTCCAGGCCAAGATCGATTTGTCAACTTTGGGCTGCTTGACCGAGAGGAGACACATGCGGCCCCCCGGAGCGCCCCAAACGACTTCAGCGAGGCGCCCCTGAGCGACGGAGCATCCCGCAGAAGCCGGCTTTGGACAGACGCAAAAAGGCCAAATCCTTCTTCCATGCAGGCTTTGATGTGAAAAACGCTCGGGAGGGCGACAAAGTTTGCAAATTAGCTTCCAAGGACTCTTCTCTTGTCTTCTTTCAGATGACCTCTTTGAATTGGCTCCGCTGCCATGTTAAATCAAGTCTTGGGAGTTGTCCTGCAATTTCAGATTGATTTAGCTGTTGGGCCCTCAGACTGACTGAGACCTTTGCAAGTCCACGTGAGTTCCACAGACATCTCCCTAGGTGTTTGGTTTCCCAAGATGGTGTGGATCCCAGCTGTGCACTCTGCGTTTGCTCCCTTTAAAGCATTGCGTAGCTTGTTTGGATCCTTATTTTGGCAGTGTAACAGAGCAGCTGTGGGTTTGCAGCAACATGAAACTTGACTTCGAGCTGAGCTCAGGATGCAGCTGTGCTCTGGTTGGTGGAACGTGCGCAGCCCTGTGGTTTCACCACAGGACTGCTCAGAACACCGGCCATTTCATTCATATAAGCCAAAACTGATTTCTGTGAGATGTGTCACTACACATAGTGTTCCAGAAGACAACCCATCTGTCTGCCCACTCTGTTGCCTTCCACCACTGCTGCTTGGAACTTCCCTCCTCGCCATCTTGATCGATCTAGATGATGTTTCTATGTGCCTCCATCAGAGTTTGATCCGTTTGACGGAACTTGGACGGAAGGATGGCTCCGAACGAACTCATCCTCCTGCTTCTGAGGCACGGACGACACTGTTCTCGCAATCCGTGTTTCCCATGGAGCGAGCTGTTTAGCTGAGTACAATCCCGAAGGCTTAGAAGGCCCCGAAAAGCACCTTGCAACTCGCCAAGATTTTCTTCGTGCACAGGAGCTCGCGCATTACATAAACTGGCGCCTCGAGGACACTGCTTCTCGTGCATCCGCGTCATTGTTCTAGTAGAGTTACTTCACGGGATTCCTTGCATTCCGGACAATCAGCAGAGGAGCTCGTCACGAAGGACGGCTTGGCTCAGGCCGCTTTGCAAAAGAGCAACCCCTTCCCGGTCCGGATAAGACCCCCGAGCTTAAGGCGAAGAAGGAGCTGTTGGAAGAGATCAGGACTTCGGGATCCTTCTCGACAGCTGCTGCACAGATGTGTCTACAGAAGGAATCTGGGGTTGCTGTGCTGAGGGGTGCTCTGTGTCTTGTGGGTTGGAAAGTCAATCATTTTCGACTCAGAGTTTGAGGTCCGCGGGTAGCGAGCCGTTGGGCTCTGAAGCGCTCCTATTCCCCAAGTTTGGCTTGAACTGGTGCCTGCTTGATGTGTGATGTGGCTGCTCTTTGCTTCACGCCTTGATGGAGAAAGTCCATTAGCATCAAGAAACACCCCCCTCACCCCCCACCCGCTCTGAGGATGTGGACCCGAGCCTCCATAATTTAGGGTATCCATGTCCATCAGTTGGAGTTCCACTGGTATAGCAAGTATAGTATCTGCCAGTAGCCGACGCCTTGACGCTTCTGCTATTTGGCGGGTTGGATTTTGCAAATATGATGGGGTTTGCAATTAGGCTCTGGGATCTGGATTTTGCATTTACGCAGAGGCTTGTTAATAGGAGGTCAACATACAGGCCCGACACCACCCAGGCTAAAGGCCCAGAGACGTCCAGGTCTTGCTCACATCACTGTGTTGACAGAAACGTCGAGGGTATGAAGTCGACCTTGCAAGAAAACTGCCTGCAGGAGCATCGCCCGCCGATGAACCTTGCTGAGTAGAGCGTGTCCTCAAGCAGGGTCCGCAGGGTTCCCGACCACACTTATCACAAGAAACTGTGAGAAGCAGCAGCCACTGGGGTACCTCTTGCTTGAGATGCTGCAGCATGCTCGGGGCTGTACATGCCAGATTGCCGCAACTACGGGAGATGCCTGGTAACCTCACTAGGCACACTTCGCAAAAGGCATGCAGCCTAATGACGCATTGAGTGGCAAATCTGGGACGTTTGTTTTGCGCTGCTTACTGCTGCTGAAGTGGTTGCGCGGGAGGGAAAACAGGTACCCTTGCAATAGGTTGCAAAGGGATCCATTCCACCATTCGCCCACAAG